CGACTGCGGTAGAAGGCAGCTTTGTTGTCCTCAGTGGGATGACCTACGTAGGCTTTGTGGAGGCGGTTCTTCTCAGCAAGCAGATTTCTGATGGCGGCGTCGTTGTCGTCGAACCAGTCCTGGTGTTGGCGGGGAGCGCGATCGAGGACGGCGAGCGCCGTCGACTGGACCGTGTCTCGAAGTTGACACCAGCGGTTCTCCACGGAGGCGTTCTCGGCAGCGGCGGTGGCGACGTCGTCGGCGGCGGCAGCGAGAGGAATGTTGTCTTGCCGTTGAGCTAGCTCATTGCTTAAATGGAGACGGTGAGCAGGCAAAGACAGCAAAGCAACATTCAGCTTACCTGGGGGTCGCTGACCTTGTGGTCTCCTGCGAGGCTGTAGGTGAATACGCATCTTCGAGATGACGAGGCGATGATCGGTCCACCCGTCAGCACCCGCGATCGCCTTCGTCACCAGCACGTCCCGCTGATCTCGCCTCCGGACGAGGACATAGTCCAGCAGGTGCCACTGACGCGACCGAGGATGCCTCCAGGTGGCCTTCTCTCGCTCCGGCAGACAGAAGAACGTGTTCGTCAGGATGAGGCGGTGTTCTGCGCAGGTGCGGAGGAGCAGCAGGCCGTTGACGTTGGAGCCGCGGAGACCGTGGGGACCCAGCACTCCCCTCCAGGCAGTATGGTCTGTGCCGACGCGGGCGTTGAAGTCGCCAAGGACAATCAACTTGTCCGCCTTCGACACAGTCGCCAAGAGGGCGTGCAGGTCCTCGTAGAACTTGTCTCTTGCGGCGGCGTCGGGGCTGGTCATCGTCGGAGCGTAGGCGCTGATGATGGTGGCGAACTTGCCTCCTCGCCGGAGGGGCAGACGGAGCCTCATTAGGCGGTCGTTGATTCCCTGCGGCAGACAGGGCAGTCGTCCCACGATGTCGGTCCGGATGGCGAAGGCGACACCCGCGTCTCGTCGCTCTGCCTTGGGTCGACCACTCCAGAAGAAGGTGTAGCCGGCACCCACCTCCTCCAGTTGGCCTTGTTCGGAGAATCGGGTCTCGCTGAGTGCGGCGATGTCCACCTTGTAGCGCGCCAGTTCTCGTGCCACTAGCGCCGTCCTCCGATCCGGTTGGTTGCTCTTCGGATTGTCTAAAAGGGAACGAACATTCCAGGCTGCCAGAGTGAGCGGGCTCACCCTGTCAGTCTGGGGAAAACGAGTGGGTCGACGGGAAGGAGGTGGAGAAGAAGGTGACGAAGGAGAAGAATAGGCAGAAGAATAGACGGAGGTAGATGTAGAAGAGGTAGGATGATTAGAAGGAGTATGGTTGTTATTGTTATTATTGGTATTTTTGCTGTTTCGGTTTTGAGTTTTTCGACCATGTTTAGACGTCTGCGGCCCTGGCTAGCCTGGAGACGGCGTGGTGCCCAGCAATGTTTAGGCTACCTTTTCTAGGCCCTTCCCCTCGTGGGGGCAGGCAGTTCCGTCCCTGAATCGGGCTGCCTGTGTGCCTGTTTGGCGCGACCGAATCCCACTATGGGACCACGACTTTATGCTTGTAGTGGAGAACGACCGCATATGCCGAGGTCTGCGGTCTCCTTCGGCGTAGGTGGGCGTGTCTCACCGAAGGCGATGCGGGGACCCATCCCGGCAGCAGCTGTCCAACGGCGTACCAGGCGGAGCCTCGTCTCGGCGACGCCGGCGCAACGTTTCATCCGACCAAACGTCCAGCCGAGCCCGCAGTACACTGTGCACGCGGCACAAGCGCACAGCGCCCTCACCTGGTTTAGCCCGCCGGTCGAGGCGGTTGCCCGGGGTGTGGCCGCTGAGCAGAACCTAGCAACGTAGAGCCACAGCTGAGAGTTGGGTGCCAGCAAATGGACGCTAGGCGTAGTCTCACCTGCAAGCAAGTGAGCGACCACTACGACCTTCACGTGAACCCACCGCTGGACACCCCTACACCCCAATCAGCGAGAGGAGAGAGTACTGCCCAGATACGGGAAGTTCTCCACCACTTGCAGTTGGGTTCCGTTCACGCTGATTTGTGGCGCGTTGGGGGCTGTGGTTGATTAGGGTGGCGCTTGATGCATGACCACCGTCTTCTGCGTGTTTATGACCAGCCCAAAGTTCTCGCAGGCGGCGGAGAACATGTCCATGCTCCGTTGCATTTCCTCTTCCGAGGTGGTGTTCAGGGCGCAATCGTCGGCAAAATACAGTTTGCGAACGTTGGTTGTGGATATGCGCAATTGGACGTGCATCCGTGTTTGATTCATAAGCTGACCGTCCGTCCTGTGGGCGATGCGGATCCCGGGGTGCTCATCATGATAGGCGTACATCAGCATGGCAAAGAACACAAGACTGAACAGGGGAGGTGCTAGCTCGCATCCCTGCTTCACTCCGTTAGTCACAGCGAATGCCTCTGAGACAGATCCATTGTCCGTCACTCGCGCCATCATACCGTCGTGCAGCTGACGCACCATCTGAGTGAATCGCTCGGGACAGCCGAATTTCTGCATGATCTTCCACAATCCTTCACGATTCACCGTTTCGAAGGTTTCATCAGTTCCACGAAGGTAGATTACAGGTGGGTCCGCATCTCCTGACACTTCTCCTGTAGTTGGTGGGCGGCGAAGATCATGTCCGTGGTCCTGCGATGACGGCGGAAGCCGCATTGGCTTTCCGGCAGAAGGCTCCGTTTTCCGGGCAGGGAACCAACTGTCAGCGAATACCAGGCTCAGAGGGCCATGGTTTGTTGATACTTCCTTTCAGATCTGCTGACATATAGGGCGACACGTGTCCCTTCATTTTGCCAGGCCGGTCACTCCTAAATTTTGTGTAACCAATGAGACGTCGACTGGCATCCACCGCCAATGAAGCACACACTATCTCCTCACATGCTTCAGAGTGTCACGGAACGCTTGAGTTGGCGGCGTGACAGCCTGACTCTCAGTCCACCAGTCAACCACACCGTAAAACACACACACAAACAAATGGACAGACTGCTGATGAGAAATTTGAAGCATTTTTTCCCCGGTATGAATTGAAAACAAGCATGTACAGCAGAATTTATTGGGGCCAACAAATTTCGTGACGGCTTTGCAACTGCAACCCGTCTATGCATAACATAGGTAACGAATGAACGCGCACAGCAGTATGAATTTGTACAGAATGGCAGTGCATAGGACGTCTTAGCTGATTATTGATTATTTTGAACTTTGACCTTGCTCCTATGCACTGCCATTCTGTACAAATTCATACTGCTGTGCGCGTTCATTCGTTACCTATGTTATGCAGAGACGGGTTGCAGTTGAAAAGCCGTCACGAAATTTGTTGGCCCCAATAAATTCTGCTGTACATGCTTGTTTTCAAGACTGCTGATGCTCGATGACATTGTGGACATGTTGGAGATGATTGGACAATGGCGTTATGAGGCGGCGGCGTAGACGAGGGCGACAGTCGATTTTTGCATGTCCCGCGTTTAGACTTGGCGGCGGCGGTGATGTGATTGGCTCCAACGATTGTTGAGCCTGTCTTCACTCCTCTCTTCTACGCTGGTCTGTCCCAGTCGGGGTATTCCCAGTTTGCCAGGTTTATCTACAGGCGCTTCAGAAGTGTTTTTAATGTATGCTTTTGGGGCCAAAGAAGAGTCTTTTGAGTAGCCTGTCGTCGCCCATCCGTAATAGCTGGCCGCATTGCAGGTATGCTGAGGATCTCCATCCGGTCCAGTACGTCCGTGTCTGGGATCTCGTCCTGCCACCTCAAAGTCAGTACTTGTCGAAGACGGCTGAGATGGAGATGATAGAGTATACGTGCCTGCTTCATGTACACAGTCCAGGTCTCCGCTCCATGCATCAACGTCTGCAGGATGACTGCCTTGTGCATCTCTAGGTTCGGGGCTGATGTGAAGCCCGTAACGATTCCAACCTGCATTTTTAGGACTAACTTGCAAAAGCGGCGGGCCACCTCATCGTCGATTTGATGCTATAGGAGATGGTGCTGCTCACATACATGAAGTTCTCTGCCACTTGCATTTGGGTTCCGCCCACGTTGGTCTCGCTTCCGGACGAGGACAATGTCTAGTATGCGCCAAGGCCACGACCGAATGTGTATCCAAGTGGCCTTCTTTCGCGTCACGAGACGGAAGAATATTTTCGTCAGGATGAGGCGGTGTTCCGCACAGGTTGTTAGGAAGAGCAGTTCGTTATCTTTAAAGCTAAAGAGACGATAGAGACCCAGAATTCATCTCCAGGCAGCATGGTCTGCGCCGATTTGGGCGATAAAATCACCAAGGACAAGTCACCAAGTCGTCGGCTCAGGCGCGAGGAGTGCGTGCAGTTCCGCGTAGAATTTGTTTCTCGTCTCGGCGGGACTGCTCATTGGCGGAGCGAAGATATTGACAAGAGTGGTAATTTCTCCACCCGAGAGAGGAAAGCGGAGGCTCATCAGGCGATCGTTAATGCCCTGCGGCAGACAGGGCAGTCGTCCCACGATGTCGTTTGGGATGGTGAAGGTGACACCCTCGCCTCGTCGTTTTGCCCTAGAAGGTGGAGCCGGCACCCACCTATTCCAGTTGGCCTTGTTCAGAGAATCGGGTCTCTCTGAGTGCGGAGATGTCCGCCTTGTTTCGCGCCTGTTCTTGAGCTACTATTGCCGTCTTGCGATCCGGTCGGGTGTCCCCCCGATTGTCTAGAAGGGAACGAACACTGCCGGCTGCCAGAGTGAGCGTACTCACCCTAACAATCTGGCGAGATGGGCGGCAGGAATGAGGAGGAGGAGGAGG